CAGACTAACGGCCAACGCCTCCCCCTTGGACTCTACTGCCTACGCCCATCTATGGGTCAGGTAGACCAGAAGATCACCAGCTGATCGACCCCGACGAAAACCGTATTGGCGGTCACTAATCAGCTGGTGATCCTCAAGGTACCGGATGAGCTGGCAGTTAATAATGGATTCCATTATTTTGGAGGACAAGGAGGTGATCGCGATAGGCCTATAGTTGGACGGGTCTGAGCGGTCGCCTTTTTTAGGGATCGGGTGGACAAAAGCTGTCTTCCATGAATTCGGGACTACGCCTTGGGAGTAGGAGTATCGGAAAAGACGCGCTAGGACCGGTGCCAACTCCGGAGCACACATCCTCAGCACAATTGGGGGGATACCGTCAGGCCCACTCGACTTCTGGATGTCCAGGGAGAGAAGTGCTTTGCGAACCGAACGCTGTGAGAACAGCACATCCGGCATGGAGCACTCACACCGCGGGATGGTCGGCGGTGTTTTCCCCCCGTCATCAAGAGTCGAGTTGGACGCAAAAAGGGAGCCTAAAAATTCAGCTTTGTCTTTTGCGTCTTGGGCCAATGAGTCGTCCTTCCTGTGCAGAGATGGTAGTGATGGCTTACAGAAATTCCCTTGGACAGCCTTGGCGAGAGACCAGAATGTACGGGTTCCCGAAGGAAGGTGAACTAGTTTCTCGCCAATTCTGTCCATGTGCTCTGACTTTGCCTTGGCAATAACTCTTTTGAAGGACCTGGAGGCAAAGTTATACTTCTTTTTAAGTGTGCTGGTGTTTACATCCCGAGTTGCCGAAGCTGCAGCCCAGGCTTGATAACACTCCTGCTTACTGCGTAATGCAGTCTTACAGGAGCGTCCAAACCAAGGCTGAGATCTGCCTCCGATGGGTACCACAGATGAAGGAATAAATAGTTCCATTCCCTGTAGCACCACATCAGTGACAGAGTCAGCAACAGCGCTGGGATCATCCGGCGAGAAGCAAACCCGCCCCCATGGGTAGGATGCAAAGAAAGACCGCATTCCGTCCCAATCCGCCGACCTGTAATGCCAAACACGGCGGCAACCTGCAGAACGCAACCGCGAAGGGAGCGTGAGTGGCACCACACTCCGGATCAGACAATGGTCCGAAGAGCCGAGAGGGGCATCGACGGAAACCTGATATCCGTCCGGATGAGAGGTCAGCAGAAGGTCCAACAGGGAAGGTGTATGATCCTCCACATCTGGAATCCGCGTAGGCAAAGTAAACAGTTGTGTCAGACCATATGCCAAGGCAAAGTCATAAACAGATCTCCCCGCATGATCGGTTAAACGTGAACCGAGCCATTCGGCATGGTGGGCGTAAAAATCGCCAAGGATCACGATCTCTGCGGATGGGACCTGTTGTAGCAAGGAATCTGTAGCCATTTGGACGTGGTCGATGAGTCGGTCTGTTTCGGCATTACCGCTATGGGACCTATAGAGGCACCCGTAGACGCGCGGATGGTCGTCGCTGTCTACGCGTAGCCAAAGGATGGACAGGTCCGTACCTTTAAGACTGCCGAGGCGTCGAGAACAGATGTCCTCTCTGACATACACGCAAACTCCAGCCCGAGGCACAAAGGAGTGCTCCAATTTTTACCCCGGGCAGGAGAGATACGAAATATCATCCGGAGAGGAAACCTGCGTCTCGGTCAGAAAGAGCAAGGCCGGCTTCGCCGTCTCGAGATGGTAGTGGACGGCGTTTAGGTTAGAGTGAAGTCCCCTGATGTTGCAGAAATTCACAGATAGCGTGGCAGGGGTCGCCTTGGTGTTCTTGCTCAGTTTGCCCCTAGCAGTTATGCTTTTGAGCGGAATTTTGCCTCCCCCCCCCCCCCAGAATACGCAGGGGAGCCTGAACACCCACGCTCAGGATCGGAATAACATGGTCGTGGATGCTCAGCGAAGGATTCTCCAGGGGTACTGGTACCCTCCTGGGGTAGTCTATCTTGTAATTCCGCTACCATATTGATGGGGGGGGGGGGATTGGGCCTCCGGCCACCTGCACTCACCAGACGAAACGCAGAAGCAGAGCCTCTACTTCATGCCGGTATTCTGTGAGGTCGTGGTACCAACCCGGCTCGAGCCGGCCCATACGTGCAACAGCAAAAACTGCTGCGTGACTCTACCACCGTTAATGATGCTGTGGCCCATAGACGTTTTCACTTTGAGGGCTAAGACGGAACGCGTCTCTTCCAGTAAAAAGGGTCTCCGGTTCTCTACACTCATCATACTAAACAGCAGCATTGAGACGCTATTTTACGCTAATATTCCTTTGCCGGTCAAGCCGATACAATCGTGTTACATACCATAAAATAGCTACAGCATGGCTCTACCATAAAAAGGGTACCACCGTTTTACCTATTTACTCTGCAAAACAGTGTTCCAGTCCAGAGGGTGTAAAGGGCCAGTATCCTATCATGTTGTGAGGTTTTCCATCTTAGCACAGAATAAATGATAGATCTTAGTCATCATAGGTCGCATCATAGGCAAATTTAAACGGGGTATGTGCCCGCCCCACCGAGGGCCAACACTGATAAACAAAAGAAGATAATTATGTCCCTCTATAACTACATTGTACTAATAGGGGCAAATTATCATTAGTTAATAATTACCTATGCGAAATCCCGTACAAAGTAAGTTTGACAGAAAGGATAAATTCAAAACGTCTTGTATGTCTCTTATTGCAACAATCAATGCATCTAGCATGGGGATTTAGGACAAAGACCGAGCAAACATTTCAAGCGCATCAGCAGAAGCTTAGAAATGGCAACGGCGCTATTCAAAGTGAACGTTAAAGACAAAATAATATTTTTTTAGGATTTGGCTTTTATAAATAATTTCTATAAAAATCACTTTTAAGTCACAATTCTGCTTTAAAAATTCTTATATTTGTAATTTCCACAAGTCAATTAAAATAAGTACAATAGAAGTTACTTTCATCCTTGCATTCTTAGCTTTTAAGTAATTATCTATACCTATAAACAAAATTCAGATATATTATAATAATGAAATAACTGCCTAATATTAATATGGTCGTTATTTACGTACCATGAAGACGTGAATAATCATATTCAAAATATTTGTCTGCCTGTCCGGACTACTCTTTGACATGGCTAAGCCGATTGTAATGATACTTCACGAACAGATCTAGGGTATATTTTAACCCAAAAGTCCTACGCAGACGAAGCTAGGGCGGATCGCTAGTTCAATTAATAATAGCCTTTCTTCATATAGCTTTTTTACAAACGCCTTGAATTCATGCGAAGGCAATACGGTACATTGTTATCATTTTGTGTCAATCAAACTACTGAGTGATCTTTCTTCTATCGTTTTACACCACCTGAAAACCTCTGTCAGCTGATGACCGATGACGATTTCATGAAGAAATTTTCGGTACATAATTTCCTACATAAATGACCTCCTAAAGTCGTTGCCCGACTGTTAGTTACGTTAGCATAGAGTACTTTTGTACATAGTGATTATTTAATTAAATAATAAAGGCTGAAAACCCGTGAATATTTTCAGCAAGAAACGTACGTAAAAATCACCAAAAGCATTCAATTTATATAGCCTACGGCTCGTAGATTGGATAGATGGGGAGCGAAATCGAGCGTTAACAAAAAGAGTTCTCGTTATATTGCTCCGCCGCGCAACATATTCTCGCATCATATTATAACGATAATGGTTGAATTTATTTAATAATTAAAATTAATAATTATTAAAAGTTATTACTTCATAAGCAGTAAACTCCAAATGGCGTCGGAGTTGACACGCACTATTTGTTAATAATATAATTATAACAAATAAAACTTTTTTATAAAATGAAAAAAGTATTCAAAGCCCAACGAATTCTAAAAAAGAGTTCGTTGTCACAGCCTATGTTATTATTATAGCAAGTAGTTAGAGTAATATTTCCGCAGCGCCTACATATTTCTACGAGCAAATTTTAGTTCCGACAATCTTGTAAAGTTTTGGTTTATCTGCAACCATCAAACATAATCACATAATACACGAAATAAATTGCTTAGCACCGATTTATTCTGTTAGTTTCACGACTAAAATGAACAAAAACCACAATCTTTAGCGAAGAAAATTTGTAGTTTATTGAGCATGCATCACAATTTTTCGCCTGATCCGATTAATCTATACAAATAAATAAAATTGAAGTGGCTATTTGTAATATCAAAATTACAGCGTTTTACTAAATGTATGTATAAATGGTACTTATACCATAAATACACATTTAAATAATTTTGTCTGTCTGTCTGTCTGTTTGTTTCGGCTAATCTCCGAAACGGCTGGACCGATTTTGACGAGACTTTCAATGTCAGATAGCTGATGTGATAACGAGTAACTTAGGTTAATTTTATTTTAGATAATTTAAAATAAAAAAAAATTGTACAGCCGACTTCAATATAAGTTATTAAGAATAACTCAAAAACTATTGGTCTGACCTTGATCAAATTCATACAAGACCACACGAGAAGTACCAGCTTTCAAATAAAAAAGAATCATGGAAATCGGTTCCCCAGTAAAAAGTTACGAAGTAACAAACTTAAAAAACATATAGTCGAATTGAGTACCGTCTCCTTTTTGGAAGTCGGCAGAAAATTATTAGGGTTCCTCGCAAAAAAATTAAAACCCTAATTACACACGGGCGACGTCGCAGGTAACAGCTAATATACATATATCTGTATATTATGATATGTGAATTTTTTTATTCGTCATTTTAATACAATATTTAAATATTTATGCAAAATAATGTTAAAAATTTATTTAAAATAAGTCGATGTTTAAATAAAAAGGAAATTAATAGAGTACTATATTCTGATGCAACAATTTAAAATCAAGTCACATTTTTATTTTAAAGAAATTAGATCTCCACTAACACATCACCATTGACCATTTCATAAATTTGAAACGATTTCGAAGATACTTAAAGTTACAACAGTCTAATTAACAACAATGTATTTACTCACGTGTTAAGCGGGAACCAGATAGGGTGGTTACGCAGTGGCTCAAGCGAAGCGGCAGAGGGAGCGGGGCGGAAAATGTTTAGCACCCGCTTGACTATGCGTGCGCTCACAGCCAATAACGTTATCATCGCCAGCACAAAAACACCACCGAATATCGCCCAAACTGCCTAAGAACATTAAAAAAATTCTATATTTTTTAATAAAATATATAGGTAATTAAAAAGTATGCTTTGAGTGATATAATATATGGTAGAAAGTTACGTTAGATTTTTTACTCAGCTGCTGGATAGCTGGATTAGATGGAACGTATCTCGCTAAGCAAGCAGCTTGGTGAGTGCCGAACCGATCGATTCAACTGATAATACGCCCTCTGCAGATCATAATTTCTTCGTTACAAGTTTTTAGAATTTCGACTCGCCATTTTGGAACGGATGTACTGTTACCGGTCGGTCGCTAGAGGCTATTCTCTTAATTAAAAGCAAGTCAAAAGCTTTTTTTTTTTTTGAAAAATCGTTACCTCCACACTAGTATTTTCTCCTGTATCGTGGGGGCAGTTTAAATACGTAAATTTCACAAGGACAAACATCCAGACCCGAAACAATTATTTGTAGGCCATACAAATATTTGACCCGTGCGGGATTCGAACCGCGCCCCTTAGTGCTCGCCACGGAGCCGTCATTTGGAGCATTAGTTATACTTTTTCGATCGACTCGATAGCGCAGTGTCTAAACATTTACGGCTTTACTCATAAAACCGACTTCAAATTAAGTAATGCTTAAAATGGCTCTCTCTTTCTCTCTTTTTCTAAATAACAATAGAAAGAGATGATATGTAAGTCCATTAGATACGGTAAATTCTGCAAATACTTGTTCTTCGTTTAGGTTTTCCTGCCGACTTCCAGAAAGGAGACGGTACTCGATTCGACTGTATTTTTTTTGTTTTTTTTATGTGTGTTACCTCATAACTTTTTACTGGGTGAATCGATTTCGATGATTCCTTTTTATGTGAAAGCTGTTACATCTCGTGTGGTCCCATATGAGTTTGATCAAGGTCAGACCAATAGTTTTTGAGTTATTCTTAATAACTTATATTGAAGTCGGCTGTACAAAATTTTTAATTTTAAATTATATATCCATATGTTGCTTATAAAAATTCACTGCTATACATAGGCCTTCCCCTTTGCCATAGTTGCCACGCTTTGCAGGCGGGTTGGCAACCAAAGGTTTTTATAATTTTAGTTGTTAGATGATAAGATGCTGCTGACCATTTCCTGTTTCAGTTTGCCTCTGTCGCCTCTAATGATGTAGTGGATATTCTTACACCACCACTAATTGTTTGAGGTTTTTATCAATATGCAATTTATGTTTTTAAAACCTCGACAAAGTATGCCTCGTGGAAATTAAGCCTTTTTCATTTGAAGAAAAAAAGAAAAGAAATAATGGATCCCTTCTTATACCTATTTGTATTATTTAATTTATTATCTGTAGAAAATTATATTAAATTACAATAACACTTACGTAGCTTGCATAGGTGATTTTTTTGGCTTCAGTAGGATCTGTAAAGACGAAAAAACACAATTTCAACTGAAATAATACAATGCTGCCGTGTGGTGGCGGCTTAAGATACATAAACCCCTTTCGTCTCCTAGGTGTTATAAGAGACGACTATAGAAAACACCAAAAATATCTTATTGCGTCTAATAGATGCCGCCATCTATAGACAATGAAATGTCTAAATAAATATTGCACGCCTCAGTGTGTTTTACTCCCGACACGTCAAGGTTAAGCAATTTCGTGTTCTTAAAATGTCTCTATCATAACCATATTGCACTTATTCGAAAATGTGAGTAGACGTATATCAAGAATAGAACACTAATTAATCCTTGTTATATTTTGTAAAAAATCATTTTGTCCGGATGTTGATTTTGTATGTGGTCACGATAACTTCCGAAAAAATTGACGTATCGAGATTAGGTTTTTTTTAATTAGCTTTAGAATTACATCAACTGGTTTCCTATTTCATATCAATAATCTATTAAAAATATAAAGGCGCTGTCATATATTTCTTTTAGCAATTAATAGACAAAGGACAAATGTACTATAAAGTCTTTTTTATTCTTATTTTTTCGTGAGGAATCCTCATGGATACCATTCGTTGCGGGGGCACCGAAAAGGTTATGCCGGACTCTTACCGGCTAAAATCCCACGGTGGTCACCATCAGCGTATACGAGAGGTCCCGGGATCTCCGTTCGATCCCCGCCATCGCTTTGCTACACTAATAGCACGTCCCGTGGGCAGTACTTGTTGCCCCCGGCACCCTCGCAGTGCTACCACGATGTCTCGAGACCACTTCCGAGTCATTGTCCTCTTCGGGGGTTACATAACTACAGAAGCCCCGTTTCTGGTAGGGGAACACCGTTTTCAAGAGAAGGGCTGTGCTGAACGCCTTGGCGACGTCGTCTCCGAGTGGTAAGCGCCCTCTCTCGATCCCACACAGAAGCCTCCTTCTGAATCATAACAGATTCGCAGAAGGTAGCTATGGCCCTCCACGTCGAATCCCCGCTCAGCATCGCTGACATTGACAGGGAGAGGTTCCGTCCGATGCGGTTCACCAGGATCTTCCGTTTCCGTTCCCACGCTGGGCATACTGCGAGCGTATGGGAAGCGGAGTCCTGGTCCCGTCCACCGCAGTGGAAGCAAATCGCCATCGCCTCGCGTCCGATCTCACACAGATAATCAACGAAGCACCCATGCCCGGTAATTATCTGTGTAAGTCTGTAGGTGAGTCTTCCTGTTCGGATGTACACCCCCGCGTCCATTTCCGCATTCGCGTCCATTGTACATTTCAATCGATTAAAACTCTGCAATAATATTGCCATATTATTGTAGATTTTGTGTATATATATTATATATACATAGGGTATTTTTGAAACGCTCCCGAAAACGAAGACAGATGACAGTACCAACTATACTTTTGATGATGGGTGAGATATAAAATCAATCATGATGAAAAAAAATCATCTTTTCACAACGTTTTATTAGCTTTATTCATTCTCTATCGTATTAGTACAGCTAAATGAAACTATAATTTCATAAAAAAAATCATGAAAATACTTAAACATAAAACCAGCAGTGGAATTACTGAATTATAATCAGCTGACTAGGGGTCTATGTACGCGCGAACGCCGATTTCGCGCGGCCCACAGCTAGCGCCATATCACAATACCTAATAATTTACAACACTTATCTAAATACCTAACTTATCTACTTAACCTACTATTTTGCCACTGTGCTTGTCTCCACGTAGCCACTTTAATTCGAATTCACAGGTTACGTAACCCAAATAACTGGTTCGATTCCCCGCTAATGAAAAAAATACTTAAATGAAATGTAGCCAAGGTTAGAGTCGAGCGTTTTTATTCATCGTGTAGGTATGTTTATTATTCTGTTGTATTCAGTTATGTATCTATTCAGATCAGTTCAGTACTAAGTTACTTAAAAACATTAGGTATGAAACAGCTTACCGCTTTAAATCCTCCGTGGTCTTATGAGATGCGGCTAAAATTGTGCTCCATTCATTTCGAGACAGATTTGGCCTCGGTGTTGCGTCCCCTTCTGCAGGCGGGGCGTCATCGTGTGATCTTCGACACAGTCCGTACGTAGTTTGTCGAAAACATCCACGATCCTTTGGCACATTTCGTCAGCACTATTACACTCACGATTGAAAACCCTTTCTTTCACATACCCCCACAGAAAGAAGTCTAACGGGGTCAGATCTGGAGAGCAAGGTGACCAAGCGTGTGGTCCTAGTCTGCCGATCCAGCGATCATCAAATAGTTCGTTGAGGTGCTCACGGGCGAACCTCATGACATGTGGAGGTGCACCATCATGCTGGAACCATGTGCGGCGATATTCAGCCAACGATAGGTCGTCTAAAATGTCAATCAACTGTTCATTTATTAAGTTCAGGTATCGCTGTCTGTTAAGTCACTGTGGTAGAAACACTGGTCCTAGTATGCGATCCTTAAATAAACCTGCCCATGCGTTAACCGACCATCGGGGTTGGTGCCCGGTTTGTCGAACAGCGTGTGGGTTAACCTCGGAATACACGTGTGTATTTCTTCGGTTCCACAGGCTGTACAGTATGACACACTTGTTCCATCCCTTAACAATTTAGCGATACTTCGTGTACCTAGGTTCGGATTCCGACGAACGATATCTAAAATGCGCTTCTCTGAGTGAACAGCCACTTGACTTCCACCTTCTGCCGCTACCAGAGCAATGGTCCGATTTTCCAACACTCGCTGAAATGCTGCTCTTATCAGACGAGAGTCAGCTGGATGTCGAGCGGTTGGAAATTTCTCTCGGTAAATTCGCAATGAAGCATTCCCGCGAACTTCTCAAAGGCAAATTAACATGTTGCCGTATTCACGAGCACTATAAACGTACGCGTTAGGCATTATAAAAACAAAACAAGAAACTTAAAACGTAACAACAAGAATAATATAATTAAGTAATAAATAACAAGTAATAACGACAATAATTTAATAAACAAAACAATTGAACTGTCTCTTGTGATAGTCAACACGGAACTGTCTCAAAAACTAAAATTTTCAATCAAACACACTAAAATAAATGCGCACAATGTAAAGTCCTTGAAGCACTGGAACCTTCTACACACCGTTAAAGCGTTATGTATGTTAAGACATCGCCAACGTTTATTTAATTTATAAGTTCTGTCCCTACGACTAGTCTTCATATGGAATTTAAAAGTTATGGTTGTCATTTTAATACAATTACACAATCAATTGTACCCTTACGCAACAAGCAGTTCTTTACTACAAAAAAATATTTAAATTAATAAACGTACCTAATTGGGTACTCAGTACTCACACAATTATAAACACTATTTCATCGTTATCTTTGATTTTGTATAAGAAAATAGAAATGAAAAATGAAACTAAAAAATGAAACTTCGTAACACCAATTTGATCGATAAATTGCTCAGTGCCCAGGTTCAAGACCAGCGTTTTTACGTGACGGGACCTATAAGAGTTCGGCGCCCACGAGGATATTGACCCTATTGTCAGCTGATGTTTTTTTTAAGTTTCACTGCTCGTTTTTTGTTTAAGTATTTTCATTATTTTTTTTTTTTTTACGAAATTATCGTTTCATTTAGCTGTACAACAAATTGAGCGTCAATAAAGTTAATAAAACGTTGTGAAAAGATGATTTTTTTCCCTAGGTATCATACCTACTATCATCTGTCTTCGTTGTCGGGAGCATTTCACAAACACCCAGTATATATGCCTTCCGATTATATATATCTATAACATAATCGATAGGCATATTTAAGTAAAGTTTAGTGTAAGTAAATATTATAAAGGAACATAAAAAAGAAACATAAGCACTCACGCCTGTCACCCAGAGGGGTAGGCAGAGACTATGAACTTCCATTTGGCACGATCCTGACACACCTCTCTCGCTTCCTCCACATCCATATACCTACGCATACACGCTCGTCGGTTAAAGGTACTCTTGATTTGGCCCATTTTCAATATATCGCCAATTCGGTCGATAAACTTTCGCCTAGGGCATCCCTTCCCGAATCTGCCGTTCACTTCTGCAACATAAATTTGCTTTGTCACTCTTTCCTCATTTATTCTTGCTACATGACCAAACCACCGAAGTATTCCTTTCTTAATCCTGGTCACAACATCATCTTGCAAACCACACTCTTCTCTTATCACACAATTTCTCACTCTGTCATTCAGATTCATTTTCTTCTATAAAGGAAGTATGCAAATAATTGTTAATCTTATTCTTACCATAAGCGGTAGCATTTCCAGCCGGTCCAACACATCCACGCTCATCGATCAAATTAACTCTTGCAAGTAATTTAACGTCCAGCATGATACTATGCTGGCGTACAGCGCTCCGCTCGCCGCTCCGCTCGACAGTGGGCAGCAATATCCATCGAGACTCTTCCGGATCCGTCACCAGGGTGTCGATGTCAACTCTCCGAGATATAGAGTGGGCAAACCATGGCGACGGATGTGCATCTGAGACCATTTGCTTGCCGATACTGTGGAAAGCGGGCAATGTTAAATTTTTGCAAGCATTACCACGCAGTGACGGCGTAAGGGAGTCCATAGCTATTTCTGTATTCTCTTTATTCTAAATACCTTATTTAACACTTATAAAAACGGTTTGATTACAAAATTACTATTCATGCGTAGTGGCAATGAACCAGCCTTATAACTCGAAGAACCGACAATCTAATGGAAAGAAAGGTTCTCGAGTGGCAGCCTCATACCAGTAAGCGAAGTGTGCCCAACACCCACTTAGCCTCTTTTTAGTATATTTATCTGCTGTTTTCTGCTATTTCGTTAAAGTACCTACGTCCTTCTCCGACCCGATCCATATGTGCTATAAATGTATATTTATCTCTCAACAAAACCGCAATGTCTTATTACAATGGCTCTATAAAATTTAAATTATAATGTGTTCATTAAGTAGTAGATAAAAAAGTGTGTTGTGAACACACACGATAGAAGTGAAACTTTTGTATTACAGGGAAACATTTCAATTATTCATCAATGACTTTTTTTTTAATTGCATAGATTGTTTATATCATTCATTTATTTACATAAAACTGTATACATATTGTATAATTGTGTCAAAGTGCATCATCTTCTTCGATGTTAAGAAGAGCAATTATCGGTTTAGGCAACACTAGGACTCACCACAGTAAATGAAGTAATTATTATAGATTCCAGTGTAACACAAAATACTCATTAAAGTTTGTTAATTAGGTAATTATCTATTATTTGTGTAATTTTATTTTAATTAAACCAAAGTTTTATATAATGTCTATAAAAATGTATTTAAATGAAAATTTACAAATTGTTATTTAAAAAAAACGCAGCTCTGCCTTATTGGACTTCAAATATTATTCAGTTTACACCTTTCTAAAAGGCCGGCAACACATTTGCAATTCCCCTGGTGTTGCGTTTGTTCATGGGCGGCGGTAGTCACTTACCATCAGATGAGCCGCATGTTCGTTTGCCCCCTCTTCTATAAAAAAAAAATTACTTCCTTGTTCATTTTTTAATAGCGCCAACTACTTAGGCCGGCCACATACATACGCAATTCCGTTTCGGGATTCCGTTTCGATATTCCGATTCGGAATCCCGAACGCAGCAAGTCCATATAAAATCTATGACCCGCCACCATGAAGCAAATACAAAGAGGAGACGTTGTAATTCAATTTCACTATGAAACAACGCGTGACAATTTGCGGGGTGAGGGGATGCAAAGCCCCGCCCACTACACTATCTACATCTACCGATAAATAGTAAAACTACTTGAATCTTTCCATATCAATGTTGCAATGTAGCTTAGCTACCTTGACGGTAGATGGCAGCATATCCACAAAATGTTATAAACTAAAAAATAATATTTTGGCGATTAAAATTTCTTTATGTCTGAATGCAAAACAAATTTTAGCACCTTCGTATGATTATTTTATCGTTACTGAGCTCTACTTACCTTTATATTTTTAGTTCACAGGACACCAAAGTGTCGCCATCTAGTGTGGAATATATTTAATTATATTTGAAAGCCAACGCAAAGAGATTTTTCTAGAACTATTTTAATAAATTAGGTGTAAAATTATTTACAAATGAAATGTGATGCCATCCATAACATCAGAGCGTCTATCTGAGTAGTTTTTACACAATAAAACACAACACTTCATCCTTTTCTTCTTAATACTACTAAAATACATCGATTTGCGATTTTTTCAACACATGAGCGCACAGGACGAATGCTGGCAGTATACTAATAAAGCCACGCCCACTATGATGACGTCAGGACCTACTTAGAATCACAGTGCACAGTTGCTTATGCCGTCTCCCCTTTGTATTAGCTTCATGCCCGCCACACACGTACGGTCGTTTTCCGTTCGAAATTTTGCGAGCAAAACGGGATTCCGTATGTGTGTGGCCGACCCGTTCGGAATTCCGAAACGGAATCTCGAAACGGAATCCCGTATGTATATGGCGGGCCTTATTCTATAAATAAAGTCATTTTATCGAACCAAAATTGATTAGCTATAATGGTGGTACGGAGAAAATGTAGTAGATGGCACTATTACTCAAATTCGATCACTCTTTCTAAAATAAATACGTGTACCTTGGTAACTATTTCAAATAAAATTAATAGATTAGTATTTGAACGAAAGACCGTTATAATCTTATAATTGTAATTGTATTACTATATACGTTTTGATATAATTGGGGTAGTTATAAACTAATTTGCTTAATTCCGCGTAAAGAAAGAAAATAATGTGTCCCTTAAAACTGGGCAGGACACATCATTTTCTTTCTTTACGCGGAATTACGCAAATTAGTTTAATAACAATCCCACTTTATGATATGTAATGGCTTGCGTTATATAAAAATACAAAAAAACAAAAAGAAGCTAATACCGACACCCTACTATATTAAAGAAGATTTCCCCCCCGAAATACTAAGCAAGCGTAAGGAACTTCAAATGGAAGTTAACAAAGAAAGAGAACAAGGTAAATTAGCGATTATTAAATATGACAAAATTGTAATACTAAAGAACCGAAACCAGCAAGCCGAGAAGCAAAGTATGGATAAAAAGAAAAGAGTTTTGTCAGAGTCACCGGAAACATCGCAATCCGACTGTGAAAATAATAAGGACAAGCAACCTATAAAGATCAATAAAACAAACAGCATGGATAACTTCCTGTTAAAAAAACCAACTTTGCAATTTCACTCCAAAAAAATCACTTCGCATCCTCATGATCCAAGAACCACACAATAACAATCAGCACCGGCCCCTCCCCATCTCCCAACACGGCTAGTCACCGCGGGAGAGGACGACTACAACCCTCCAACTTGTCAACCACTCTATATCTGCACATACAATGTTAAATCATTACTATCGCCACAACGAATGATACTATTAAAATATTCATTATCAAAAATTAAACATGACATCGTAGGACTATCGGAAATCAGAAGAAAAGGAAATGAAATTATCGAAGATGAAAATCATATTTTTTGTTATACAGGAGATATACAAGGGCAATATGGTGTAGGCTTTTTAATAAAAAAGAAATATAAAAACAACATAGAGAACTACGTAGGTATATCAGATAGAGTTTGCCTCCTAAATATGAAATTCTACAAAATAGCAATTTCAATAATACAGGTTTACGCCCCCACCTCTGAAGCACCGGAAGAGGAAATAGATCTTTTTTACGATCAAGTCGAAAAAGCTCAAAAACTAGCAAACGGAAAAATTATTTTAATGGGAGACTTCAACGCTAAAATAGGAAAAAGAAAACCCATGGAAAACATAATTATGGGGCCATACTGCTTTGGAACGAGAAACGTAAGAGGAGACAAATTACTACAATACGCATTAAAAAACAAACTCACTATAATTAACACAATATTTAAGAAAAAAATTAAAACTTTGTGGACATGGACTACACCAGACAAGCATCATAAAAACCAAATCGATTATATTTTGAGCAACTCCCCAAAACTTTTCACAAACATAGAAATTTTAAATAATAATACATTTCCAAGCGACCACAGACTACTGCGAGGCACAGTACAACTGAAAAAACTTAAAAAAAGTAGAGCAACTTTTAGTGAAACTCGAGCTGGTCTATCGTGCGACAAGAGTCAACAAGCATACCTCAAGACTTTAGAGGAAAAAATGCAACAAATTGAATGGGAAAGTTGCGACGACATAGAGTCCTTCAATCTTAAAGTAGAGACAGCCTTAAAACAAAGCCTAAATGCTGCCACCTCAAAGAAAATAAGCAAAAATATTCTAACCATTGAAACCAAACAACAACTTAAAAAACGTATTGCACTCCAATCAAAACCATGTAAAAACAAAGAGGAGAAAAAAGAACTTACAGCTCTCTATAAAATTACAAATAAAATGTTAAAAAAAGACTACGAAAACTACAGAGTGCAAATTATCGAAAAGAACCTGACCGCCACCGGAAGCCAAAAGAAAGCCTATAAAGAACTAAATACTGGGCACAAATGGATACCCACACTGCAAGCACAGAATACTACAGGTAAATTACAAACGCGAAAAAACATAATAAATATTGCTACGGACTTTTACAGGAATCTCTACCAGGATGAACGAAGCGAAGAAAATGAGCACAAAAAATATGAAATACAATTAAATACACCAATCGCGCCTTTTGACTACAGAGATATATTGGAAAATATAGAAAAATTAAAAAAAGAAAAAAGCCCAGGTCCTGATAACATTCCCAATGAAGCCATAAAAATCGGAAAGAAAACTCTAATAGGTCCTATAACGACTCTGTTTAATAAAATACTAGAAGTCCAAAAAATCCCCAAAAACTGGGGAGAATCTCGAATAATTTTACTATATAAAAAGGGAGATCCTTCAGACATTAATAACTATCGACCTATCAGCCTGTTGCCAACAATGTACAAATTATTTGCAATGTGTCTGGAAAAAAGAATAGCACTAAGAATAGAGACAAACCAACCAGTAGAGCAAGCTGGATTCCGGTCGGGCTACTCTACTATCGACCACATCCACACGCTAGACCAAATAATAGAAAAATATCAAGAATTTAATCAGCCGCTCTACCTTGCATATATCGATTATGCGAAAGCATTTGATTCAATTTCACACGAGAGCATATGGCAAGCGCTTTCACGCCAAGGTATTCCAGAAACCTACATAAATATAATCAAAGATATATACAAGAACAGTACAAGCAGGGTGAAGTTGGACAGACTAGGACCAAAAATTTACATTAAAAGAGGAGTGAAACAAGGAGATCCGTTGTCTCCAAAGATATTTATAGCCGTGCTACAGGACATTATGAAAGAGCTAAATTGGAGTAGAAAAGGAATTAAAATAGATACAGAGTTCCTAAGTAACCTAAGATTTGCAGATGATATCGTCATATTTGCCAAAACATCGAAGGAGCTGGAAACAATGATGGTAGAACTAAATAACGCCAGCAGAAAAATAGGCTTACAA